TCTCCCCTAAATACAAATTCTGAGACATTCTCACTTGCTTATTTGTTTAGTTTGTTGCTCTCCCAGTTTAGGTTAACTATAGCTCCCAAAAAGTACACAAAATGTTAAATACGTGAAAAGAAACTTATTATACTAGCACAATAATTGCATATTTAAAATCTGCACACAAATTTACCAGAACTTCAAAAGTTATATTTCAGCTTATGAAGAATATAAAATAATTGTCAGGACCGTTTCTTCTGAAGGTAGGTCACCACCTTTAAAACCGCATTTTTGGAAAAAAAAAATGGGGGAGGGGGGGGAGATTTCATATTTTCGGGCACCCTGTTTATTCAAAAATACTTGGAGAAATAATTATGTAGCTATCTTGAGTCGCTCAAAAGGTATCATCATTTTTTGAACCCATGTTGGATGCATCTATTACCGAAACTTCGCGTTCTCAATTTATTTTAAAATGTTCACTATTTGGCTGGAGCACTCCAGTAATTGAGTTGCGCCCGTTTTCGTTCAGCAGTCAGTGTTGTTTTCTATTGCATTTTGAGTTCTGGGATTTAGTTCTGGCTTTTTAAAGAGAAAGTTATGATACTTCATGAAGCACTGCAAAGTGTAGGACGAGAAATAAGCGTAAACGCAAGTTAGCAATTCAATATGCCTAGTGTGGACCAGTTGTGGAGATGCAAGACACCTAGAGACACAAAATGACCTAGAAAGTACTTCTCTTGTCTCTCTTGAAAAAAGCTTGTACCACCTCAAAAGTGGTCCCAAGCTATAAGCCTGGTGTTTTCAAAGCATATTGCATGCTTTTTTGTTGCACGGACATTTGATCCAAATATTCAAAGTCATTTTTCTCAAAACACGATTTCTTGCATTCTAGTATTACGCTAATAATGATAGCTCTACTTCTAACCAATACTTTTACATAAAATTTTGCGTGCTAGTTCTTTATAGGTGGAGCTGTGCATTGAATCAGAGTTATTGATAACAAGCACCAACCTTTTGTATTATGGCCAACGGCGTGCAAAACAAACTTGTCAAATATCAAATTTTTTATTCTTTTTATGAAGCTGTTGTTCTGGAAATAATACCCTCGTTGGAATACCTGTGCATTAGGGTATCGCTTTGGGGCTATAGCTTTGTACTTTTCGCAGTGTATAGGCCCCCTGATAACGCCCCTGAATTTTCGCATGAATTATGTTGTATTATAAATAAGTACTTCAGTAGCAAGGTTATTCTTGTGAGTGACTTTATTGTGCCTGGTATAAACTGGGTGCGCCTTGACTCTGAGCTTCATTGCAACCGGGATGTCAACATACTTTTTGATATCATGTTAACCCATGATCTCGTGCAAGCTGCAGTTGAACCAACTCGCGTGCAAGGTTCTTTATCATCAGTTTTAGACCTGGGATTCTTTTCTCGCAAGTTTTTCGATTCACTGTAGTTGTCGAGCCCGGGCTATCAGATCACAATCTTGTCTATATTTGCTTGCTACTTACTTTCTGTACAAAAACTGATAAATCATGCGCCCATTCTATCAAAGATTATTCTCGGGCAAATGACGCATGTGTGATTCATTACTTAGAAAACTGCTTAACTGATTTTGACGAGAATAATGTGAACATACTTTGGACTCGCCTCAAAGATATGCGTCAGTTTTTTCTAGGCAAATTCATACCAAATAAAAAAAACGAGTTCACAAGCAAACACCATGGATCAACCGTAACATTATTTATATGAAGTGCAAGATTAAGTGATTGAAGAAGGCACATGAGCAGCCATACGTGATATCGAAATTACAAAATGAGCTCGTGCTTGCGGTGCCTAATTCAAAGGACTATTACTTTACCATGTGCCTGCTCAATTTCATTAAAAATGATCCAAGTAAGTTTTGGAATTACATTGGCGAGAAGAAAAAAAAAAACAATATCACAAACGACAGTGAATGGACAGAAGGTTACTGAGAAGCTACAACTTGCCAATCACTTTAATAAGTTTTTTCACATTGTTTTTTCTAATTCTAGTGATTGTTCACACAACTGTACAGTGCTGCATTTTTCTGATGTAAATTTTGTATCGGAAACGGGTGTACTTTCTATGCTGCTAAACCTTAAACTCAGAACTTCTAGTAAACATGGCAATATTCCTCATTCATTTCTGTGTTATAATATTTCGTACGTCACTGTTGTTGTCACAATTACCGAGTGACTGGAGGACAGCGCGCATTGCACCGATTCATAAGAAGGGAGATCGTCTTCTCGTTGAAGATTACCGTCCTATTTTTTTAATCTCATCATGCTGCAAACTTATGGAACATATAATAGCAAACAACGTAACTGCATATTTAAAGAAGCATTCTGTTTTAATTAATTGTCAGCATGGGCTTAGGAAGGGGGAATTCGACAATCACACAGCTGATCACTGTTCATTTTTTTTTTGTGTCAACTCTTGACAAAAAGGGACAAATTGACATAATTTTTCTAGACTTCTGAAAAGATTTTGATACTGTCTCTCACGATGATTCTGAAACTTGAAAAGGCAGGAATCCCAGGATTGTTAATTTCTTGGGTTGCTGCATATCTGACAAACCGGCCCCAATTCGTGGGAATTAATGGTGAAGAATTGGGTTCACTTCCAGTCACATCAGGTGTGCAGCAGGGCAGTGTCCTCAGCCCTCTCCTCTTTAATATATACATTAACGACATTGTTGATATGGTTGAAGGTGGTGTCCAGATGCAATTATTTGCCGATGATTGGGTGCTTTTTAAAGACATTAATTCTATTAATGACCAAATTAGTTTGCCTAGTAGTTTAAATAATATTCTTGAATGGTGCATGCATTTGGAAATGACACTAAGAGAGAAAAGTGTGCTAATGTCAATGACACAAGAAATCACCTTTGCTTTATGCGTATCAACTAGGTTCATCCCCCCTGCATAAAGTAACCCAATACAGGTGCTTAAGAGTCATCTTTAACAACACGTTAACATGGAATGACCACATAAGTAATACTCGCACCTCAGCATTCAGAAAATTATGCTACACAAATTTAAAAAAGCACTATTTAATGTAAAACTGCTAAGCTATAATGCCTTAATCAGAACCAAACTAGAATATCTATGTATTGTTTGGGATCCCTATACAAAAACTAATATCAATAACCTCGAGAGAGTGCAGCGAAAGGCAGTTAGATTTATATTTAACAAAATCTCAAGACAGGATTCACCCACAGAACTTAAAAAATTAACCACATTGAATCACTCGATATGAGAAGACAGAAGCACAGACTGGAGTTTTTAGGCTAGTTTACATGAACAATTCACCACTAGACTTATTTCTATATCTGTCGCCCCTATTAACCTAACCACTCGTCACTGTAGACAAAATGCATTACCACCCTACTTCATGAGAACGAACACATTTAAGAACTTTTTTTCCTTCGTACAATAACTGAATGGAATTGTGTAATCGAATCAACACCAAAATTCTGATTGTTACTAATTTTTTTTGTAAAACGTATTCACTCTATTTCTGTATTAGTGTTGTTATTTCGTTTATTCATTTTGTTTTGAACATGTTCACTGTTGTACCAGTTTATTTGCCCTCCCTGCTCTGGCCACGTGTCCACAGTATTTGATAAATAAATAAACAAACAAATAAAAATTAACGCGCCCAAACATGAAGATATGATGATCGTGGATGCACAGGGTGTTGTGTTCACTGCCAAATTGTGTTTGAGTTGTACTAAAGTTTTTTAGTTATCACTATTGGTGCAACATGCATATTTTAGCCCTATTTGATTTTTATAAATTTGATTTTTTACATATTTAGCTATTTCATCATTTTAATTTTAAAAATTTTCAAAACCAATATTATAATTGTAACTTTTGGACAAAAACTGGGAAATTTTTTTGAAGGTGTTGACCTACCTTAAAGGAGTACTGACACGTATTTTAAAGATTTTTGGGATTTTTGCTGTAAATGGGAACATAGGTTTCGAGAACTCTAAAAAAAGTATGGTGGTGCCTGGAAATGCTTAGTGTGTCTATTTAATATAAGTACTTTATTATACACTTTCAGTTTCAATATCAAGGAGGCAGCTTCTCAGTGACGTGTCATGTCGGTGTGATCAGACAGAAGTTGGTGATGTAATAGCGGCCAACCTGCCATCTGACACGTAAACAACAATTATCTCCAGCAAGAGTGATTTCTGTGATATAAGCTACATGCAGGACGCACAGTTAGCAAACGGAAGACCTGCACCAGTCAGAATCGCATCATGGCTGTGCGCACCAAGTTCAGAAATTGTGCAGTGCGAGTTCAGCGATGCAGGAACAGTGCAACACCCAAAATGAATGACGATGTGCCAACAAGGTGCAGGCCTTATTTCTGTTCGCTTAGTTTACACTGTACGACTAGAACTGACCAATGGCAAACTGCATTACGCGGACAGTTTATGAGGTGCAAACATCTTGAAAAACGCACCTCATTAGTAGAGGCAGGTACGTTGCCTACGTCTGCTGAGCTGCAAGCACGACTGCACCGAGCCAGCACTGTCAGTGTAGGATGTACAGGAAAATTGTAAATCAGTGCTGCACCTCATCTGCACCTTTTGAAACGAATGGCAGGGTTCAGAGGTCGTTAATGCAGCACCTCGTGAACTGGGTCATGTGGTGCAGGCAAATCGAACGGTTCTTCAGTGGAACTGTGTTCACTAGTCTGGACCATTGTGGTGGGGCTGGCATGCTGAGCTCCACGACAAAAACTTCGAAATCAGAGAAAAGGTTTGGTACGTGTTGGCATGACTAGTGTGTGGAGGACACTGCATACTAAAAAAAAAATATATATATTCCTTTTGTGATGTCTCAAAATCGCGTCAGTACAGCAATATCATGGTTTCTGAGCTGAAACGACAAGTGCAATGAAATCTGTGCCCCTTGAGTGCCCTCGCAAAGAATGCGTCGGCTGCGAAATTTATCTAAGCCTGCTGTTGATGTCTGTTCCAGGAGCATCTACAAGAGCAATTCAGGCTGGCGGGCCTTGCGGCTACTTTCGCAGAAGTCCCCACACTTTTTCACGAGCAGCAACCAGCCCATAAAGAGCCTTCCACTCTATCTGGAATCTATGGTGATGCGCCTGGCCAAGGAATTTCCCATCAATACACAGGTGTGTCTGCACTTTCCTTTTTTTTTCAAGCTACCACATTTTTGCTCAAGGTGTAATTTCTAATTGGTTCATAATCACCATTTTCACTTCTATGTTTGTTTTCAATGTTGAAGCAATAAAAAGTGAATTCAATTGAGCGCCTTGTTAAAATCGTGGGTAAATACTGCCAAGTTTCGTGCTTTCTTTTCAATTTTTTATTGGGGCTAATTCAGTTAGTCCTGTCAACATCAAATTAATTGTAACATACCATATAAGGCTACGATTTTTGCAATACAATTGACTCTCAATGATACGAATTCGAAAGGAGCATGTAATATATCCCTATCATCTCGAATTTGTATGAACCAAAAACAAGGTAAGACTGATAATGAAGATTAACAAGAGCTTTTTTGGCAACTGCTTCTTGTTGGAAAAGTCGAAGATGTTTCTTTGAACTTTCCTGCCTTCACCATCTTCTCTATAAAGTGCCGCGGTTTCCTCACTCATGCTGCTTCCGCGGCATGTTCACACTTGACATCAAAGGAAGCGAAAGTGGCCAAACTCGTTGGAAATTCACTCGCTTCGCCGCGCTTAAAGGGACCAACAAGTGATTTTTTTTTCGACCCAGTTTTTTCCGGCGCAACCGAAAGCTTACCCTTCGCAGTATTCAAAGCTGCAGTAGTTACTCCCAAAAGCACTTAGGTATTTTATAAGCAGTATTTTTTTTTTTATTTGAAAGGCTCTGAACACCGATGTGCCTTTTTGTCCAGCAATGCTGAGAATCGATAGTGATGCCAGTAGCCCTTCTAGGCACTTGTGCATGTCATTGTTCTGCTTTCGCAGGAGTTCTTGTAACTGTGCTTAACCATGTTTATTCTGAGCTTTAAAGCTATTTTTTAAAATAACAAGTCGTTACAATTAGACGATGTGGCTTTATACAGCTTCCCTGTATTTGTACTGCATTGCATGCGCTTGCGCCCAAGGTTGATGCACTTGTGTCGTGGATGGCTTGTCTCTTCGTCGTTACCCTCTCTTCACATGAGCCAAGGCCAGCCACTGAAAAGGTCACAGTGCATCATTTCTGAGACAAAGTGTAGCTAAAAAAAATGGCAGCATATCCACGGGGTGAATGATGGTGAGTGGGGCGAAGCATCCGTCCGTCCATTTGTTCTTGCTTCTGTCCGTCCATGCGTCCGTCTGTGTTACCGTCCGTGCGTCCATCCGCTCGTCCGTGCATCTGTTCATGCGTCCGTCCCTGCGTCCGTTCATGCGTCCATACGTCTGTGCAGCCATCCGTGCGTCCATCCATCTATCTGTCTGTGTGTCCGTTCGTCCATATAGTCAACACTCCAAGTACCACCATCTCGCATCTGTTCATCATATATTCCGCATATAGAAGCACCACCATCCAGCGGACATTCCAAGGACTGAACGAGAGAAGGCACACGCACACTTTCTTGCTTGCGCTTCGTGTCTACTTCCCACCTTTAACCACCTCCAGTTCATGGTATATACTAGTTCACTGTATTCATGGCACTGCGGGCCAACGCTCGCTAAACCTTTCTAAAACCAAGGAGGTTACGCCCAGCGAGCATAACGTAGCAACCCTTTTTTAGGAGATAGTGCTCAATGTACATGCCAATGGCTGCTAATGGGGAATGAGAGACAGAAGAATTCGACCTTTAGTTAATGTGCAAGCTGCGTATTTTTTATTGTTCAACAACACACAGGAGAAATCTCCCACTGGCAGCACCTTGCAGGTCAAAGCGCAAGACTGGTTACGCACTACGACTATGACAAGGGATGAACGGATGCCGCTTCAAGGAGCTTCGCCCCTAAAAGAACTGCGTCACCCCAAAATCTTAGCGACCTGGAAACTGCATGCACAGTTTTATGAGCACATAGAAAAGTTGCTCAAGACGCGCTGGCGAGCACGGGATCATTGTCATGCGCAGGCAGCCCCACTTTACTGCACACTACTAATGCAAGTCTATAAGTACATCTTATGGAGTAATATCTGTTACTATATAAAAGCAAACAATATTTTAATACTAACAGGAAAATCGTTGACCACGTACACTGGTTTATGGTCACGTGACAGGGCAACTCGGATAATTGAAGTTTCTGCCACCAGGTGGTGCCACAAGCTGTTTCCGCACTTTTTAATGAAGAAATAAAAATATAACTTCACTTTTCACGAGAAAAACAGGGTTAATTTGAGTCGCTATGAGGGACAATCTTCCGTGCAGTCATCTCATTTCGTGTTCTGGGCAGTTGTTGGCCCCTTTGCTGGAAAATTGTGCTGCAAAGTCTGCATGAGAAAAATCGGTCAGCAGAAACGACACAAGTAGACGCACCGGTGGGGACGGATTCAGCCAGCAGTGCAAAAGCGAGACACGTTAGGACAGGCGGTTTCTGCTGCTGCACTTTTGTTTACTTCCAGTGTTCTCAGCGATCGTAACCCAAAGCAGACTCTCTCAGAGCTCACAGCCTTTGTCAAGGCTGTGAGCTCTGACATGCTGTGCAGGTAGTTCGCGATAGTGCCTACATGATCAACTGCCGACGCCTTTGCGCCACATTTAATTTGCGGCTGGTTGTTTACATCACGTGGTTTGAGAGCTAGGGCTGCCGGTGTAGTCAAAGCCAAAAGCGATCTGCTATCGCGGGAAAATTGGTCTCAGACAGATAATTTAGTGTCGGCTTCGCGGCATGTTTTTCTGGCCACTAAGCGAAAAAAATTCCGCCGATTTTTGCCGCATTCACTTCTTTGAGGCCAAGTGCAGCGGTCAATCGCAAAGTCAAATCATCCGCGGAGACTGGGGAAACCATTTGTATTACACCGAACCACGGTGTATTTTATATAATGTATTCCATCTAAAACAACTTTAAAATTCGTATCATCGCAAAATTTGCATAAACCGTAATCATATTATGGAGACTATACTGTAGTAGTAAAGGTAAGTGTAGCATGTTTGTGAAATCTGCTTAGAAAGTTGGGGACATTCCCATGGCCTCTGATATCGGAGGCCATGGGGCCACTGCTACAGTTTTAACGTCGCCCACAAAGTGGTTCGTGTGCCAAGTGTTGATGCATAGTTTTCACTGTTGCAATAGCTTGCTCTTAGCTGTGCAGTGTGTGAAAATGGCTGCAAAATAGCAAATTGGGCTAGTTAGTGCTTATTCATCTCCTGGAGAAAAAAAAAAACAGCTAAAAAACACAGACAAGAATGAGAAGACAGACAACACTGTGCATGTTTCCTCTCTTGTCTTCTTTTTTTTTATGTGCTTGCGCAGTTTTTGTTCAAAATACAGTGTAGACCACTTATAACGTAACTGCTTATAGTGCAGAACCAGTTACAATGTGGTCTTTTTTTACTCCTGTTCACCCTCCCCTAGGACCCCATGTATGTGCGTACCACTTATTGTGCAGTCCCTCAGGATGAGAGATCGGTTATAATGTGGTTGCCAGAAAATCTGTGTCACAATCGCGGTAGCGACTGCGTATCTGAAAGAAGGTGCGCTGGGTGCGCCGCTGGGAGTGAGCGACGACGACTTTACAAAAAAAGGAGGGGACGCGGAGTGAACGAATGAAAGGCGGAGGGAAGGTTAAAAAAAAAAAAGACTGAGGCGTGCTGCGCGGGCTCGCCAAGTATTGGTGACGCATAAGCCGTTGAACTGGCGCGGTCAGATTAGCATTGCTAGCGTGGCCCTGGGCGTGCGCAGCGCAACGGGGCGTGTGCAATGCCATCCTTATCAACTGCACTTAACAAATTCCTGCCAAGTAAAGCATAGTCGTTATCATGCTTGCTGCAGATATCTGATTAGCTACCGTAAATTTAAAACCTTTCATAGCTTTCTGCGTGGGCTTTCGCCTTTGCGACTAGTGTGCAGTCTAGTTTGGCGGATTTTCGTCGTCGTTGATCTCCAGGCCACGGATGTGAACTTTGTATCACGCACGCCGTTCTTGGTCCAGTGCTTGAGTGCGGTCTTTTCAACGCCGGACCTTCGTGTATTGAACAAACTTCCCACGATAACATACCAAATGACAGGCTAGGCTTAATCGACGTTGGTTGCGCGGTCGGTCATATGCTATCTAATTTGCGGTTTTGTACAGAATCAACGAAGCTCTCTGTGATGGCTGCACTTGACAGGTACGGATGAATATTGTTGATGAAAAGGAAGGTGGCACGTGTAGTGCCCGAATGTTGGTTCACGGTTCGATTGCGACGTTTTGAAATCCAGTGCTTGCCCGTGAAATCGAACTATTGGCGTCTTTCAGCGCATGAAATTTCGGATGTGATTGAACATAGTTGCAGTGTAATGCTCACAATTGAAGAGGTCTGAGAAGCAGTCAGCGAATTTCTGTGATGCTACTTTATTTTGGTACACCCTCTTTCCCACTTTTTGTGTTCATTTCGTTCGCAACACGTGTCTTTGAATGTTAATTTTTTTTAACAATTGCAAATTTAAAAGGTTGTAAGCACCACGCATGCAATTGCACGCTTCGATTCTTGAACACTCATGGCTGTTGCTCAACATGTTCTGCGCAGTTGGGGCCCTGAAAAAGGTTTTAGTGCGGATATTCGCAACTTGCGTTATAAGTGGTCTATGCTGTACTTGGAAATACAGTAGACTCTCATTACATTAAACCTGAAGGGACTAGAAAATTGTGTGCCATTCAACAGGGGCTCTATGTACTGAGAGATGAACAGGAGTGTAGAATACAAGTATAAAACCGAACTTGTTGGACCCACTTGTTTCATTTTTAAGCAGCGCTTTTATTTAAGAGATTTCACTTTACTTAGAGTCTACTGTAGTTGCAAAATGTAACGCAATGGTTTATTTTTTCACTCAGTGAAAGATTTTTCAATTGATCTGCATAGTTTGAAATAACATGGATGCCTCCAACCACAAACACCACTGGCACTATCTGCATAAGTGGGGGAAAAAAGAAATAGGGGCGATGGCCATAACTACTCTATGTTTGCTCGATTGTAATGCGACCATAATTGTGATGCTACAAATGGCTTTTCATTTTGATGAGAAAGAAAAAAAATAAACAAAATAATGGTGTGCATCATTCCAGTTTTTGGACAACCTGAATTTGGTATTCGATAGTAATACGTGGGCAATGTTCCCATCGCAGAAACCTGGCAAAATAGCTCTTGTCACATCCAAGTCGTGGTTTTCGTTGCTTTCTTGTGTCTGATTAAGTTAGCAGCCGGAGCTTATCTGTTTGAGCACATTCTTTTGCAGTGTTTTGATTGATCATCCTAAAAGACAATGCATGCAAGCACGGACACAAGAGGAAAGTCAGGACATCACAATTGCTTATCAACCAGGAAAGATGTACACTATGGCTTATCCACGCACGCCCCATGCGATATGTGAACTAACTTATCAGCCTGGCATGACTAGTGGCACGCCCCATGCGATATGTGAACTAACTTATCAGCCTGGCATGACTAGTGGTCTACATGAGAGATAGACAGTTGGCTCACGCATGTGCTACCACTATTATCAATATATGTACCTATCATCAGTCATGTTTCTTCATTCCCATAGCAATACAAAACTGGGAATTCATTGAATTTCGGCGAGCACTTACACTTTTTGCAATATAAAGAAAGATTGATGGTGGGCCTTTGGCTAGCGATTCCTTATATCCCAATAATCTCTGGTTATTGCCCATCTTTCCAACATAGAAGTGCCCAGAGCTGAAAGGGACTTTTTTGTGTGAATTTGTTGGTGTGATTTGAAAAACAAATATCGGTCTTTTTTCTGTCTTTTTTTCTTTCATTTTTTCTCTGCACAATGGCGCAAATCTTACCTGGATTACTATTGGCAGCCGTAAAAACATCTAATAAAAACATCTACCATCGTATCTAATTTTTACTTTGTTTAGCCTGTGAGGTTGAGGCATGGCATATCGATAATAGTGGTAGCACATGCATAAGCCGACCGCCGATTAAGTCAATACGAAATCGTATACCTTCATACTTATCTTTTATGTGCCAGATTGGTAAGTTTGTTCGCATATCGCATGTCTTCGTGTATTTTCTCTTCGTAGCAAGAATACTTACAAACTAGCTCAGCTCTCTATTCTGAAATGTAGTACAGTGTCCGTAAGAGAAAGTTAGTCAAGATGGTTTCCTCCTTTTATGGGCAGTTTGTTAATTGATTGAGATTCCAGAATGCAGCCCCATCCCAAGCAGCTGACGAGAAACCGGACATGGCCGACTATGGAGACAGCGAGGACGAGCTGCTCAAGAACCACGAGGATAGCAGGGATCGTGAGACGGGCAGTGAGTGAACATTGTCTGCTCTGCACGTCTCATTGCTCAAGTGTAATTGCAGTTAATCCGAGAAGTGCCGATCATTCAAAATGTGAATTATATGCGTGTTTAAAGGGGCCCTGAAACACTTTTTTTGAACATGGTGAGAAAAATCTAGGCTCGTGCGAATAATGAATTTTAGGTTCGAAGCAAATTCTAAGCGAATAGTGATTTTGATGGAATAATTTCGAATTGAATTCGAATGGTGCATATGACACATAAAGAAAAAGGGAATATTGATCATGACCTAACTAACCTGCACAATATTTCTTTTGAATTGAAATAGGGGCTCTATGCAAATTCCCTTTTTTTTTTTTCTTTCAGTGGAAGTCTAAACAAGCTTGACTAGTAGTTTGGGTAGGATGCGAGTGATAACCTGTAAGATACTTAATGTTTTAAAATTTATTATACTAGGAGCATATAAGCCATCATAACAAGCTTAACAAAATGAATTGATTTGAGAATAACATGTTCCTTTAAAGGGGCCCCACAACACTTCTTCAAGTAGCTATAGAGCCAGTAAACATGCTTGTTGCCTCACATATTTACTGCTGCAAAGTTTCTAGAATCAGTTTAGTACAAGCGGAGTTCCGAAAATTTGTTGCACACTGCAATTGCATTCTCTCTTCTCATCCTGACGAAATACCTAGAAGCTGAGCAGGGACGAATGGCACGGAGAAAGAAATTACGTCACACGCACCTTGTGACCATGAGCACCTCTTTTTTTTTCTTCCAATACGCGGCTTTTTAGTGCGATTGCGCGCATACTCTAGGACAACTGGCGGTCTCCCACGGCGGCCCCGGTAATGACGAGTGCGCCACGCTCAAATCAGCCAATGTCTGTGACCATAGCTGTATATTCCTTCTTGGCTGTGACAAGTGATTTTTGAGCTTGTAGTGTCATTTGCCAAGAGAATAAAGCAATTTTCAGGTGGCTTTTTAGTGCGATCGCGCGCATACTCTAGGACAACTGGCGGTCTCCCGCAACGGCCCCGGTAATGACGAGCGCGCCACGCTCAAATCAGCCAGTGTCTGTGACCATAGCTGTATATTCCTTCTTGGCTGTGACAAGTGATTTTTGAGCTTGTAGTGTCATTTGCCGAGAGAATAAAGCAATTTTCAGGTGGCTTTTTAGTGCGATTGCGCGCATACTCTAGGACAACTGGCGGTCTCCCGCGGCGGCCCCGGTAATGACGAGCGCGCCATGCTCAAATCAGCCAGTGTCTGTGACCATAGCTGTATATTCCTTCTTGGCTGTGACAAGTGATTTTTGAGCTTGTAGTGTCATTTGCCGAGAGTAAAGCAATTTTCAGGTTTGAATATTGCGAATTACAGGCCGCATGCTGTGCTATAATATTTGCCTCGCGTGTTCTCGGTAGCCTTGACTACCGCGCAGCAGCGTTTTCTGAACATGCTCATTAAGTGTTGCAGGGACCCTTTAAATTTGAAGGGGGCTTCGCGGCAAATGTGATTTTTATTTTTTTTTTTTTGATAAAGTGCTTTCTTGGCTTAGCACCCTACGTTGTAGTGAAACCACCCTTGCAGGTGGTTACACACAGACTAATATACATTTATTCGTTTGTTGCGAATACTTCGAAAATATTTGATAATTTAAATTCGAATTGCAAGCAAATTCAAATACTCAAATATTGATTGGAATATTCTAACAATTCGAATATTCGCACAAGCCTAGAAAAATCAAGGCTCCTGCCAACATGTGCGCCAAACACTATGGCATGGAACTTTCAGGAAGCAAGCTGGGCATGTTGTTGTTTGCTGTCAGACATATCATAGCACTGAAGCACAATCATCAAAAAAAGACACCCAACTACTTAGAATGTGTGGTACAGTCGAACCCCTTCATGAGAGACACTGACACCAGTGTGCCTACACTGAAGTGCGGGTTGATAAGGAAATGCCTGCGTGGTACCTTGTTTATAGGAGGACAAAAATTGCTGCCCAGTGCATGTCTCTCATAAAATTATAACTGAAGTGGCATCTTACAGCAAAATAAGTTCCTCGTCGTATCCAAAAATTCGTTATAAAAGATATATTTGTAACACCATATTTATTGCAAGAGGCATTTTTTTCGCTTCGTTATAACCAATATTTTGTTATATCGAGGTTTGAGTGTATATGTACACTATTTCCAGTGTGCAGGCGCCTTGTAGAGATCACACATGCCTGCCATAGGGGCGTGCGATGTCGACAAAGATTTAAAGAAACTGCGTTCTGCTTCATACATTGCGACTGCACATTGGGAATGATATAACACACAGTCTCAGTAGGGAACTAGCAGTAAAATTGTAGCTAGTAATCGCTCACTTTCCCTTCGACAAATGATACCGTAAGCTGAATGGACATAGGCCCATATTAGTACCATAAGCTGCACAGTTATTGCGGCCACTGCGGGATGCCGTGCATGCCGTGTTTTATAGTGCCAACTAGTGGAGCTAAGGTAGGTGACATTCCTTGCATGATGACATCACTGAAAAGGTACTGAAGTGTTATCCACATCAATGCCTGTACTATGGCTAAAAGTAATGTCCCCTTTAGTGTAAACGAAACAACCTTTCATTCATTCCATAGTGCTAGAATTATACACAATGTAAAAATACAAGAGCACTCCCACGACTAAGGGAGCTACACTCCTAAGAAGGAAAAACAAAGTTATTATGGCTGCTGACCAGGCTTCTGTAAATAGAAAATTCGAGGTTCGAAGTTAAATTGAAGTGAAAAGAGGTTTCATCACATAATATTGTTACGGAAAAGAAGAGACGTCGTATCGACGAGGCTGTGGATTACATATATTTGAAACCAGCGGTAATGGCGTGACCAGTTCACCAGCGATCGAGCGGAGACAACCCTTCGTCTTCCTCGTCAGGCACACACAGGCGTCGCCCCCTAGAATATCAATATGCATGCATGTAACAATATTGAGTCATATTCGAATAGTATACATCATATAATGAAAAATTTGCATATTTGTCATGACTAGAGACCGGATTACAGCCAAATGACTATTTTTTTTCTTTCGTTCCTATCATGCCACTTTGATATATGAGCATAAATTAGAGGTCAAGAAGAGCTTTTGTAGCGTTTTCATTGTGCCTCTAAATGCATAATTTTAACGTTTGTGCCTATATTCTTATAAGTGCAAACAAGCTTTTCTACTCTGAATTGCCTCTTTGTGATGTGTGTTATTATCTACCATCCATAAATTCGTCAAATTTGTTCGATTCAATGCCAAGGTTCTGGAGTCTCAGATTAAAGCGAGTGAAAATGTTCTACTAAGTGTTTATAAATGCCAATTTTTAATGCTGCACCTATATGATTGTTATTTAATCTCAAATTTGCTTTCTAGTACAGTTGGAGGCCTGTATTCATGTGAACGGACAAAAAATTGAGCTTTCGCAACTCTATGGGGTGCAACCAATGCTCATCTCAGAAGGTCCCTTCACTACTGACAAGGCTACAAATTCTTTTAGTCAATAGGAAGGCTGATTACCCTCTCCACATGTATTCATCCGGGTAGCGTCGTCTGCGCGGCATCTCTTCAGCTTCCGCTCACATGCGTAAGGTACAGGAGGTGCATCTGTACAGCCCTAGGACGATGAAAAATGAATGTGAGTGTCCTAGGGTGTTATCAAGGGAACATAAGAGTGTAGATAAAACAATATATCCATGTGGTTTTAGTTTTTTTGTTATTTACTTCTTATAGGGCACTTTACTAGGTCACATCAAAAATTTTTACTTAGACACTGGAAGTTGTTGCGTATCTAATGAATGGCCTTGTACGACTAGATTTTTAATCTTTCTTGGGAACCTTCGACACAAAATGTTTTGTCTGTCTGTCTGCACATTTGTCTGTTTGTCCACTTTTAACAGCATCAGATACTTGAAACGGTCGACCCCATCCGCAGCATCCACTAATGTTACTCAAGATTCAGCATTCATACTTGTGCAATTGTCGATTCAAAGGCAATTATTGCGCATGTCTGGGGCACCAAAACAACACGTATATATTCTGCATGTGCGTCTTTTACTAGAAAAGGCATACATAAGTGATTTCAAGAACTGTAGCGCTTATCACGCTGCGCTGACCATGCAACGCTTGCACGAACAGGAGTGTTTCGAATGCTTTGCTAAAACGAAACGGTGGTGGCACCTAACCGTCGCCTTGCGTTCCACACCTTATCACCTCTGAGACGGGCGCGGACACTCTTCTCAGAGCCACGCACTTTGTTTTTGAAGAAAACTGCCAGATGGCGCTCACGTCTCACGTGTGACGTGATTTGATGCGCTCATTCGCCTCCGCTGCACGCTCAAGCACTGTAATGCAGCGCCTCCAGAATACTAGTCACCGATTTTCTTGCGCTGAACATGAAATAAATGTTTTGTTCACTTCTCTCCACACGCAAGACTATTGTCTTTCGACGACATTTTCTGTACATTATGATCACATGAAACGAAAACCACATATACGACACTAGCTCTCCCATCAGAGGAGTTAGATGCATTGTCATCTCTGTCACACAGTGGCACCTGAGCACATGTTTTGGCCAGTTTGTGTTGCTTTGCATGGGGCCTGTGCACGCTGTATCTGTTCCCATTGAAATGAAGTAAATTGTGATGCTTCATTTTCATTACGAAAGTGCACGACGAAGGAAAGTCATTTTGCACACTAAATATAGCTACATCATGTCTTTTTTGTGTGCCCGAGGCCTGCGATCGTGAGTAGCGTAAATAGGAGATCTTCAGCTGCATGTGCGGGCTGAAAATATCCAAACCTCAAAGAAAAGCTTGCAGACTTTCATAAGCTACTTGATGTATATTGGCTTTTTCAAGGTAACGGTATGCAAGAAGTGATAGCAATGCCAGTAAAACAGCCTTTCAGAAAATGAGCAGCCAGAAGAACAAATTTTTCATTATATGAAGGAAAATTGTGCTCGTCTCTCTTTATTAATCTTTTTCTAATTGTAAAAATAAGGTTATACTACAGTTTTATTGTTAAAATCTGGTAGAAATTTATTCATGAGCATGTTTATTTAGAATTCGGGAAATGGCGTTCTTGTTAGATTAGTCTGCTCTACTTGAAAGCATAGTTTTCATCAAGCTTGCTTCATCTTGGTCCTTTCCTCCTCATAATAAGTATACTTAATTCAGTGTTTTCAAGCCACATATTTGAGCCTACTTGGCATGTTAGCATTTGGTTTTGGGGGGCACTTCTGTTAAGACAAACAAATGATCGTGGTTCCTTCAAGTTAGTCTTAAAGGGAGTCTACTGTACCTGCAGCCAGTCTTTGAAATATCCTTCCTACAGAAATCACTTCATCATCTATTCAGCATTTTTCTAAGTCACTGCACCAGTACTTCCTTGCAGTTTCTAAAAAAAAAGAAGACAACTTTGCTTGTTTTCTTTCTTGTTTTATGTACCATACAGCTCTTAGTTTTTTGTTTTTATAATATTTTTTATGTTGTACATAGTTTCCTTTTACTCACTGTATAACGTTTTTTTTTGTTTGTTTCAGATGCACCTATGTATAGGATATTTTTCACAGGGATTTTTTTTATATTTTTCACTCACTGCAAGGTTTATAGTTTCATTTCGAACATTGTATAATGATTCTCTTGTTTTGTGTACATCTATATAGAATCCTTGGACACGGATTTAAATAGCATTATTTGTGATAGGAACCCCTTTCACAACACTTGCTGAGTTCTGGGGTCTCAGCTTATAAACATTACCCATTGTACTCCATTCTGTTACTAATAAGTGAACTTGAATTGAACTTGTTTAGGTTTCTATTTGTGATAATACTGATGGGAAAGGATTCCTAATACTGATGGGAAAGGATTCCTCCTAATAAATTCGTGGTGTGTACGTTGCAGCATTGTCGAGCGCTGGTGGAGCTGCCGAGTGCGGCAGCAACGAGCCAAAGGATAAGCTCAGCAAGGACGAACTGGTGGCTCTGGCTGGGGCACTCGGTGCCGACTGGAAGAAGCTGGCGCCATTGCTGAGCTTCGGTGAAGACGAGATTCTCTACATTGCTTCTGAACATGAAGGCGATGCAGTGAAGCAGGCCTACCAGGCACTGCTCGTCTGGCTCGAGCAGGAACCTGAGCATGCGACACACAGCAACCTTTTGCAACTGGCAGCCAGGGCAGGACTCAAGGACAAGCTTGCATCACTCTTGGTTTCAGAATAAAAGGCTAACTTGGCGGGATTCGGGATAGATGGTTATCAAGTTTGTTTATGACTGACAATTGTGAAGAACGGGCAGAGAACACACCAAGTGTCTGGTGTGTCCCTTGAGTCTGTTAGACTCTAGGGACAACACTTCATCTTTGTCACGATGACCTCGGGGGTGCTTGAAATATTCTATTGGATCAGGAGAGAGTGAGACTGGCACAGGAGACATGGTAGCATTACCAACAAACTTTCGTTAATTCTTGCAGGCGTAACTCTTGCAAACACGTCGTGTAGTTCGGAAGTTCTGCCACAGGCTGAATTTTGCTGCTTCCGCAAGTGTTCAAATAGGCTCCTCTTCCCTGAAGTTCCAGTGGCACTCAGCAATACAAACAAACCCCATTTACAGTAAGAAATCTTAGTTCGTACCCAGCACTGAAACTAGCTAAACAGGGCATTTTAGCTAGGCTTAGATGCTTTTCTTCAACTTAGTCTGGCCACTACGGGCCTTGCGGCACTAGATTGTTCTTACTGTTCAATCGATGTTCGTTGCGCCGACCCGATGTTCTCGCTGCGTGAATCTTTCGAAAAGACCGTCGTCGAAGTCCTCAGCAGCCACCCAAGTTCATTTTTGGTCGCCTTCCTCTATCCTGCCGCTAGTCCTCGTCATGCTTTTTTGTGGTAGTCTGTACCGTTCTCGCTTAGTCGAGGTTAGGCTTCAGGACTCCACCGATGACAAACATCTCCTTGCCTGAACTGTGGTCGGCAGCCGAGAATGGCTGCTGGCGATCCCGGAACTGCAGTGCCGAGAAGTGACAACTCCGGGCAGCCTCGCTTGGAGTCTTCCAAGGGCAACAGCCACTCCCCGGACCAGCCGCTCTCTTCGCGGGTGCAATGCCTGCTTTTTCCTCGGTCTTCTCCGCCCCACAAAACAGTGACTTATTACATCCCTCGTCGTTCACCATCACAGCTCGGGTCGCACGCCCCAAGCCCCTATCTGGCCAGTCCTCAGCGATGACGTGGCTGGTACGCGTGCACTCAGGTGGCTTTTTTCTTCATGTGCACCGTCGCTGCTCTTCCACGTTCAGCACCCGCCTCATACCTCTCCTTCACTCATCGCAGCCCTGCTCATTATGGCAGCGTCTTGAAGGGAAAGAGCTTGTTTGATAGATACACCCTAATGAAGCCAACAGACTAGGAAAGTATACAGAGGAAATTACATTCAGTTTTCAATTACAGTGTAGTAATTAGTATGACATAAGAGGGAGGGAATGGGAGCGGATGAAAAAGCAACTCGCTCTTGGTACGTATTGATGCAATGACCTGTTAATGCATTTAGTGTGTTAGTATACAAAAAGTGCAGTTTTAATACTTATGGGCAAGTTTTTTCATCCACTGTCATTCCACTTGAGTCACCATATTACAATGTACATATTGCATCAGTGATGGAAGTGCTCCAAAACAGAAATGCTGCTCCGTGCTGCTCCAAAGTGCAATATTTGCTAGTAACTGCTCCAAAATGGTGTTGGCAAACTAAAAAGAATGAAGTTGAACCATGGGACCATCCAGTGAGCCTAAGCGAAACCATGAGCAAGCTGTATACACACGATCATCCTAGTATAGGACTCAGTGGCGTAAATCCAGAAAAATCTCAAGGGGTGACACATATCAGGCCTTGGTGTCCAATTCGTATGTTTATTATGGAATGTATTTTTATATATGTAAAAATTAAATCGTGCTTTCATATAAAATTTAAAAATGAGCATAGGGTCCCAGCTCGAGCAATTCTGTTTAGTCTTTTTTTTTTCACCTTTTTTCACTTTTTATAATTCACACAGCTGAGGGGCATTTAACACAGGTACGCAGTAAAATATAAAAGCCTTTTAAAAAGTTGATTGTGCTCTACTTAACTGCTAACTCAATTTTTTCAGATGTTTAAGCTGAATCTCAAGAGGGACACTTGCAAGGGCTGTCCTCCGCAGCCTGAACACAATAAAAGTCTGGACTCCCTTGTCCCCCTATGATTTACGTGAATGATGCCACTATACCGCTTGTATACTAGCTGCATACTAGCATACGGCATGTTTAATTATAAATATAAATATTTATTAGATGCTTAAGTGATGTTTTAGACTTCGAAAGTCGTTAGAAACATGCATATATTTATTAGATGCTTAAGTGATGTTTTATACTTCAGGAGCCGTTAGGAACAGGCATCTTCTTCGAAAACACCAATAGGAATCCAAGCTATAGCATTTTTTTTTCTGCTCCGAAGACACTTGAGCCTGCTCCAAAGCCCCATTTTTTCTGCCCCAGAAAGCAAAATGTCGCTTTCATCACTGTTGCGTGTACATATGTGCCTCTACTTGACCTGTGACGAAAGAAGACTGAATGGACATTAAAAATAAGGAAAGCTTGAGCTTCACCCTCGGGAGTGGAACGTGCCTCGTTCTCATCTCAGGCTTCGCTCCGCGGTTGACACTTTGAAAGGGCTATACACAGTCACCCAGTCATTTGTAGTTTGGAGAGGGCCTATTATGTTTCATTGTGCATGAAAAGTGGGCTGTAAAGGAATATTTCAGTGCAGAACAAGTCCTAGAAGTCACTGGCCGTAAACCCCACCTGCCGGCAACAACCACCATGGCCCGTGTGGCATGGTGTGCTGGAAGGAGCGGTGTCGTCACCATCTATCGAAGTTTCGGCCACTGCAAAGGTTCAACATCAGTGCGAAGCTTGAGAGAGCTCAATTATCTCGACTTGACCGCAATGCAGACAGGTCACTCGCATGTTCGTGAAGATATTCGATTAAATGAAGTGCTCGGCTAAATGTGCTAAAATTTCACCTGCTTACTTGTGCATGCACAAGGTCTAAACAACAAAACACCGATTATGATAAAAAATTGGGTGTCATGGCGCCTTTAAGGTGTTAGCCCCATTCCATATGCACCCACTCTGCGTTTTAGTCATGGTTTGCTGACTCGCTGCGCTTATTGTACTCGTCAGGTTGATGTGAATTCTATTGCATTGAAAAAGCTTGCCTTCTCCACCTTCTAATTATGACTGGTATTATTGCCTACTTTGAATCGTTATTTCGTAACATTGAAGAAAACTGTGCGAGCATAAATCGGCGTTTTTGGTGTACAAGCTTTCATTGTACTGCAAGTGCGAAAAAACTGTTCAACATAACGAATTGAAACTTACCGAGCCTTTTAATGAAGCATTAAACTTATTGCTAGTAAAGCAATTAAAAATTATGCAGGCTGCAATAAAATTGGGGAGAACAATGAAAGTTTATCGATAGCTTTTTCTTTATGTAGAATAGTAATTAATGGATTTCCAAGTTGCAATGTACTTTAAGTTTACATGATGTGTTCTGAGTAACAGTTCATGATTATTGCTTCAATGGGCTCAACGTGGTCACACATTACTGATGAAGGTACAAAAGTATGCAAGCTTAAATCCTCAATGTTCTAGCAGCAATCAATTCTTTGGGATTCAATGAAAAGAAAATTGTCCTATGTTCTTTAGAAAATGTACAGGACAGCATTGAATTAAGCTCATTTTTTTGCTAATCAGGCTTGTGCGAATCAACATTTCCTTTTTTTCACGCTAATTCACAACAAATATTACGAATTAGCAGAGCTATATACTGTCTTGTAATTACTAGTACTCACTAACATTATGAAGTGTACTGTCTCACATTCCTCATATGTGACATCTTCACTTGTCAGTAGTTCACTGTCAAAATGAATTATTTGGTGCTTTGGCTTTGCAGGTATTGGTGCCAGTGGTTGGCCCATATCACTAGGCAGTCCGCAACATACTGCCTTGTGGCATGCTTTTGCCAGGGTTGAAGCTAGCTGTTCCATCACTCATGTCAACACGATTGTACTTGGAAGTTATGACTCCTAAAGTTATTAAATGCGAATCATTTCTTAGTGAACTTCTGTAACTTTGAGCATATCTATCTATCCAGCTATCCGTCTCTCTGTCTGTCCGTCTATCCATCCATCCGCCCGCCCGCTCTAAATATACCAAATTTAATATCGCCCGCCCGCTTATCCGTCCGTTCGTCCGTCTGTATAGCTGCCTACGATTTTTTTAGCTCTCCTGGCTGTTTCGATAATGATATCGATACCAAAATTGGTATGGCATAACATGACTATATGACGAGCACAATTGACTAGTCATAACAACAAAATCATGACATGTATGTCATGAATGTCATGATTTACATTTCGTGGTCCTGCAGCTCTTGCGGTGGTTTCGTTCACATGACATGTGAAACTAGTATGGTATGACATGATTGCATGGCCAACACAAGCGACAGACTCTAACATGAAAGTCATGACTTGCGTGCCATGTAACAACATGACTACATGCCACGCTCGTGATGCACTTGCGGCCGTTTGGCTAGCGTCCCATATACAAAATTTGGTGTTACGTGACGTCAATGGATGACGAAGGAATATGACTGGTGCAAACATAATAACCATGACACAAGTGTCACGTAAGGACATTATAATATACCATGCTCGTGATACACTCGCGACCGTTTTGCTAGCTCTAGATATACCAAATTTGGTATCGCCTGATATAAATAGAACGAAGGCAAGTACACGTCCAAACATGATAATTGTGATATGCGTATCATGTCAAATTTGACAACATGCTACGCTCAAAGCACGCTCGCGGCCGTTTCGCTAGCTCTACATATACCAAATTTAGTATCAGAAAACGTGAATAGATGATGAACCTAAATGACACGTCCAAACATGATAATAATGGCATGAAATTCATGGCATAATTTAAGTCCGCCTCTTAACGTACTTAATTTAAAGTGACATATCAACCTTCTTCGTGCTTTGCATATTATCGATTACCACTGTACATGGGATCTGCCAATTTTAATGCTAATGCAATACCATTATCTTCAAAAATGGCAAAGTTTGAGATGTAGAACCACAGCAATTATGAAAAAAAAAAAAAAAGCAGCACTGTAAGAATTCAACTTAGGTCCACTTAGCCAGGGCTCACACATCTATGTAACATGCCACATAAAGCAATTTTTTAAGTTTTTTTCTTTTGTTTGCACTTCCTTTATTACTAGATGTAACTCGTACTAACGGGAAATGAAATTAATGCAACTTCGTACTAGTAGTGCCAAGCTGGCTGGCCTGCTTTGTTTTTCTTTATTTTCTTCTCCCACCTCTGTTTTTATGCAATTTCTGTGTGGTCACTTCAAATTATTTTTCACTTTATGTATTTCTTTTTTATTTTTCTTTCCGTCTTATGCTTTACCCTCAATTTTTTTTTTTTTGGCACCCTTTTAGCTGCATAGCCAAGTGGTTCACCAATTCGTGGGCTCACATTTAGCCTTGCACGTAGTAGTATTTCTCGCTGTGCCTATCCCACACTGGCAGCCACGGAGGAAGGAAACTGGCAGCGAAGAAAGCGTGAGCCTGTTGATGATGATAGCTTTCCATTGGTCGTATTAGTAGCTCCACTGTTAAAAAAGTCATGCAAATGTAGGTGCCAAACATTTATTTGCATACTTGGAACCAGAGGTAGATACAGACAATCATTACTTTTTGCTGAGAAGAACCAAGCGCTGGGCGAGTTGGTATTTCTTTGTGGATGGCATTTCATGCAAAAAAAAACATGGACAAGAAGGAAGAGAGCACAGCTGCACCAGCCTCTTCCTTCTTGTCCATGTTTTTTTTTTTTTTTTTTGCACTAAATGCCATCCACAATTTTTTGTGTGTGGGGGTGAGATTGAGTAGAACCGGGCAGAGCTTTTTCGTTCTTAGTACCCTCACAAAACCCCATGGCAATAAATATTAATTTGTGCTCAAAGTAGTCATTTGTCCCAATGGACAACAGGCTCTGGAAGATCCGCCACAACTCCTGCGATCATCCAAAGATCGTCTTCAGGAAAATGCACCATTGCCCTGCGAGGTTTTCTAGTCTTTGCCCGCATAGGTGCGTGTTTTCTCGGAGGGGTGGAACATATTGTAACATCGCCTCAGAGGTCCAGGCGAGGTTTACTGGTCGTAGAGCAACAACAGGGTTCTTGAGAAAATGCGTAGTTCAAGCTTGCTCTCGAAGATGATGATGAATCCACAGCCATGGCTTGTACCCACTCAGGGGGATTGGCCAAGAATCGAGGATTTAATTCAGTGAGACTTTTTTTATATTCAATGTTGATACCCCCCTCCAAAAAAAAAAAGAAAAAGACACCCTAGGTAGAATGAAAGGAGTGCAATAATTATTTGTCACTTGTTCAGATCAGACAATGCATTCATTATCTTGAATAGTATAACAGCACTTTTTTTTCTTTCGTGACCTGTGCCATGCAGCTCACCCACTACTGCAAGTGGCTTTATCTCCCCTTTACGAAAGAGGTGCATCACCTCGATGCTTAGGTAAAGGTGTAGTAGAAATACACACGCTGCCATTTGTGTCATCCCATTCATTCAAGACAGCCACACGCTCAAAGACAACCAACCCGTCCTAGAGGCTAGAGCGCTGTGCCATGGTACGGCATCGAACTCGTGGGCTCTCAAGTGTGTTTTCCATACCCGTTGGGTTGGTTTGCACAGAAGTGCTGGTCATGCCATTTGAGGTACTGTGAACGGGAACGCCGACCTGCGGGGGAAGGACGTCCCCTGATTCTGCGGCTGGCCCGACACACTGGGGTGTTAACTGGCGCTGGGTTCGTGGCGCAGCTTCCTGTCTCGCTAGCTGGAATCCGTGACGAACGGTTCTGCCCCCGTGATCTCCGACGACAGCGCAGCTCTGGCCAACCGGCTCGCCCTCCGCTGTGAAGCTCTCGCTGAGTGGTACCCCATCCTCAGACTCCTTCGACCGTGTCCCCATATTTATCTGATTTTTACTTCTGTATGTGGTTGTTCTCATCTCTATTGTTTATCCCTTTTAATTCCCCCTTATCCCATTCCCTTGCGGACCACTGTTGAGGTGCCACACTCAGATGCAGACAGTTACGGGGCGCACTTTTATCTTATTTTCTCTAATTTAAGAATAACCCCCCCCCCCCCCCCCCCGGCTTCCAGGAAGGGCTCTTGGCAAATTGCGTTGGTTAAGCTTGCTTGCTTGTACGTACATGCTGTGGCTCGTTTCCACCACGGGGGATTGGCCATTAAACCGGTGGTTAATGTAATGAGGAAAAAATAATTTCATGTTCCGATGAAGAAAAATTAATTATCCAGACATCTAGGGAGTTTAAAATTGGACAATCATAAAGTTATCTAAGAATAAAGTAGGTAAACAACTATTATTTGAAATGAATAAATAAATCATAATTCCAAAGAACTAGAATTACATCTAGAACACTGTCGCAGCAGCGTCCACATCACGGTTACGGTTGTGTGACCCCTCAAAATATTTGACAGCGGCACTAGCTCAATTCAGGGGCACATCCAGCCACGGGGGTGGGCCGTAATAAAAACCGGTAGGGGACTTTCAGTAGTTACTATGACTCCATCACAGCATAAATACTGTTAATTTGCACTCACCAGGGTTCCACTCATTTGTTCTAATCGGTTTTTCAATCGTAATAAATTGCAAAACTTTAAACAAAAGTTTAAAATTATCGAAATGATTTCACATAGAAACCAACAAATTATTGCTTACTTCGCTAACGAGGGGCTATTTTTTCTGAATGTGCAATCTTCGCCGCTGATTTCTGCCAGCATGAACAACTAACTCACAAAATGTCGCGCCAAGGACCCGCTGCAATCGGGATCGCAGCTAAAGATTGCGACTGTCGAGGGAGCGAAAAGGGCCTGTAACAACATTGACCGCAAACGGTTGCGCGCTTACACATACGCGCTTACACAAACGGCGCACCAACGTTGTCCAAACTTGCCACGACATGCCCGCTCCCGCTGTAAGCTCCTCCCTCTATTGTGAAATCAGCGCCAAAAATGACGTAACGACAAACACATACGCGACCTCTTTTTTAGCTACAAAATTCAATAACAACTAATCAACTTAATTTTTTTTTTACAATTTAAAACTTAAAAGCTACAAAAACATTCATTATAATATTATAAACGTAAATTGTTTTGTTCTGCGTTAATGAATGCGTAAAATTGAGAAAGGGCATTAAGCACCACTAGTTTCGTAATCGACGTCAGAGCCCTGTCGTTTTTTGATTGGACAATCTTTCCAATGGAGAGTAAAGCTGATCAGAGAGCTGCTTTCCTTGGCGCCAAGACGCAGTTGCGCGCGTTTTCTGCTATCGTACGGAAGGGCCAGTGAAACTGCTCCGGTGAAAATGTCTCTTTCGACGCGGGACATGAATGTGATCAACAACCTGAAAATCTCAATCCGGGACAAAGAAAACCAGGTAAATGTCCGATGCGTCTCTTTGAAACCATACAGCAAATTTGGATGTTGTTCATAACATTGGCGTCAGGCCAATGTGCGACATGGATGTAAGAGCCATGAGAAGATGTACGACTTCGATAATACAGCCGCATCAGTCTGGTTTGAGCCATTTTCTCTAGATGATGAGTGAACACGAATAAGGGTGACTTTTGTTTGCACTGCACAACCTTAATGGGAACCAACAGGCAATCCAGGTTGCAGTTGTATCGGGCTCGGATAATCGATTGCCAACCTTTTAGTTCATTCGTCCGGTGCTCTGGCAGTGAGTGCTAGGCTAAAATGTTATTAGGCGAATTTCGGGTGCCTATTTTTCTTAGCTTCGCGTATGCACCGTTGGCTGGTCACGCGTTACGAGGCTCGTGAAGCAGGGCGCCAGATGTTCGTGCTGCATTCTCCCGCCAAAAACGAGCGGCCGCCTACATAGAACCGAGGTGGTAGTGGTTGTAGGAAACATTTACTGCGCACTCGATTGTGCTGTACGGTATAGCTCGGACTTAGCGTATCGGACTGCGCTCTTAATTTACCAATTTAAAAGTCGGCGCCGTAGTTGTACTTTCTCCACGGCGCCGCCCACCTCTGCTGAGATTGCCTAGAATTACAGTGCTGTTATGGAAATGCTAAACGGCACGAAACCATAATCGGCTGTCTTAGTGTTTGCGCCTTTTCACGTTTCCGCTTCTCATTTTCCTTTCCTGCAGCTGCCCGACGACAGCGGAAAAGTTGAAAAGAAGGTAAGTGGTATGCTTTGACGCCGGAAACCCGGTCGTCGATCGGGTGGACAGCAATTACGCGGGTGTGTGCCGAGCACGGGAAATGTACGTACTGCATACTCTTCTCCAGGTCCCACAGCAGCAAGTTGCGCGGCGGTCGACGAGCGTGGAAGACGAGCCTCTGCTACGCGAGAACCCACGTCGTTTCGTGGTGTTCCCCATCCAGTACGAGGACATATGGCGCATGTACAAGAAGGCCGAGGCCTCCTTTTGGACCGTCGAGGAAGTGGACCTGGCCAAAGACCTGCCGCACTGGGAAGCGCTCAAGCCCGAGGAGAGGCACTTCGTCTCGCACATCCTCGCCTTCTTTGCCGCCAGCGACGGCATCGTCAACGAGAACCTGGTACGCCTCCCCGCCCTTTTCTGACCCAGGTTGCCTCGAGGGTGCCGGTTAGTAGTAAGCGAACTGCTGATGGAAGTCGGCTAAAAGACGCAATTGCTTGCAGTGAGCTTCACTGCATGGCACCAATTTAGGAAGACACAAACTTCTAGGGGTCACTCTGTGTCCTTCCGTGCATACAATAAAGTATTGCCAGTGCAGCCTCCAATGCATAATTCCTCATAATGAACCACCTTGCTGTATGTAGTCCTGTAAAACACTCGGTAATTTATGTTTTATGTTCTGCCATGAATGCAATCGATGTCAAATGTTTGTGCTGACTGTTGGCACCTGTTGTTTGCAGGTGGAGCGCTTTAGCCAGGAAGTGCAGGTTACAGAGGCACGGTGCTTCTATGGCTTCCAGATGGCCATCGAGAATGTTCACTCTGAAATGTACAGCCTGCTCATTGACACCTACATCAAAGATGCGGCAGAGAGGTGAGCACATTCGTGCTGACCATTGCTGCTCTCTACATTTGGAGAAGTTGGATTACTCCATCATTTTTCTATCTTGAATCTGCAGTGGCTGGCTCCTCGTGTCTTATTCGGACTCTGTGTCTACTAAATGTGAGAAAAATTATCCACGGAAGTATTGAACGAAATATGATTATTTATCGGACTCTGTGTTCACAGTAGACTTGTGAAACGGAACCGGAAAGAAACGAGAAAATATTGATAGGGGTTTCGGTTACTGAAAAATGAACTTTCAACAACAAAACCACTCGTATTTCAGGTAGTTGTGCCATTGTAGCGGCAATTCTATTTACAAAGAGTAGTGTATTGCTATTTAAGGCCTTGGAAGGACACTAAGCACAAAACATTAATTACGTGTGCATTGTTAGAGTACTTTTCTGGAAACTTCATGGTATGTTTTTTCTTTTGTTCTGGCAGAAACAATGCATATATTTTATAGAAAATGTTGGTTGGAGGGTGTGCTTATACATCATCGCACACCTTTTGTCATTGCGTATTATTGGCAGATCTTTTGCCTGTACCCAAAAACGGCAGCAAGAAAGAAATTGTGTGTATATTCTACTTTCTTGTAACCAACCTCGGTGTATAACCTGCACCTTCGAATGTTAACCTGCACATTTTTTCAAAATTTGGCGAGCCTGCGCCAAAGGGCTTGCTCCGACTTTCAGAAACTAATCTAATTGAGGCTCTCCCATTGAAAATGACATCGCCGTGCACCTGCATAAAATCAACTCAAGCCAAGCCACACAGCCAAATGTCACCGTTAGGACCATGGATAGTTTGGATGCAGTGACTGCCCAATTTTTCGGACTGTCTATTAACCTAGAAAATTGTCCAAAAAAAGATTCATCACTTTTGACTTTGCTCAAATAATCAAATCACTGTAGCCCTGTCTAAAATAGCTGCAATGTCTTCGAGAGTACACTTATGAGGCATTTCAGTGCACGCCCAGGCTGTCGTGAATACATTGAAGGCCCGCCTACATGCATTTGCAAATATGCGTCTGGCGATTCCCGCCGATACCAGCAAAGCGCGGGATAAGTTGCGGTTTTGACGCATGGAGCGTATAGAAACGATGCAGAAGAATTGGAGGGTGTGGCAGATAGAGGAATTTTTGTCCGGACTTCCACAATGCGTGTGTGCACTTTGAAGATGCGCCACTGTATGGAAATCTCTAGCGACACGTAGCGCTTGCTGCCAAACGAGACTGGTCGTTCCTAGTTATGTGCAGTTTACACAGCTGACGGCATTTCTACTGGGGCACATTCGTGTGCACGTTTTTGTCATAAAAATGAGTTTTTGATGCCCACTCTGTTCCTGATCGCACATAGGCGCGGCGATGGCAAGCAGGTTTCGTTCAAGAAGGCACCGCGTCTGTGCGGCGCACTTCGCTGACTTTCACAGAGGGGGCACGTGAACAGCGACTCGAGTGAGTGGTTAAAAGCGTGTAGTACGTCGACAACGACGCCACGTGCAGTAACAAATAGTTAGCTAAAGATGCTTATCATAAACTGATTAAGTCTTACGGCATGTTTGCCGCATTGCCGCCATCACGCCTTCCTGCATTTTCGGTGCTTAACCATTAAACATCACCTCACTGTGCGGTGATACCAGCCCTTTCGAAATTTTTTTTTTTTTTTTTCATCTGCTTCAACCCATAGCATTTGTGTATTGCAGCAAGCTGACTTTCGAACATTACTGTGGCACTGAAGTACTTTTGAAAACGTTCGTTTCAGCATATGAGATCATAGACATAGCAAAGGCAGGCACTTTAAGTGATGCTGTTTCATACCTGGAATGTTGGCTGAAAGCCCAAAAAACCGGACGCAGAAGAGTTTCAGCGTTGAAAATTTCAGGCGTTCTTAAACATTAACGTCCATAGGGCTTGTGATGCTGTTGCAAAATCGTCTAATTTTGCAAACATGTCTCAAAAATCTGGCGTCCAAAATATCAGCAATCAACTAATCTTCAGCCACGTTATAAGGAAGTTTTAAATTCTGTCTTTGTCTACTAAATATGGTCAGGTTACTGTAGGTGATATAATTTTTTAATTCCTACATTATCCTTGAATAGTGTGCAGCACATTACAATTTTATCATTTGTTTGTCGTGAACAGCAGTATTAAAAAAACAGCGGGAAAGGGTGGACGGAACCTTGTTATGAAAAAAATTTGTATACAGGGGTTGGTGTCAGGCCGATGTTTCGACAAGCGGACTTGTCTTTCTTACGGCTAGAACAGAACAGTTCTGTTCTGAGGAAGACAAGACTGCGTGTCTAAACGTCGGCTCGACACAGCCTCTGTTTTCGGATTTCTTCGGGACTTACGTTATGAGCGGTCTACACTGCAGCCAGTACCCCGACATTAGCTTTGAATTTTGTGTATATGCATTTTGTCTGAGCTATTTGTGAGAAATTTTTGTGTAGTTAGTGCGATTTGCGAGGGGAAGCACCTTTATTTCTTGGTAAAGTTAAAAAAAGGCCATCATCATAGGCCCCAGTAAGGAATGAACCCCCCCCCCCCCCCCCCCCCCCCGTCTTTTTTTTTTTCTTCATTGGACTTCGGCAGAGATCGGCTATTCAATGCAATCGAGACGATGCCGTGCATCAAGCGGAAAGCCGACTGGGCCCTGAAGTGGATCGGTGATCGAAATGCCAGCTTTGGGGAGCGTGTGGTCGCCTTTGCTGCCGTCGAGGGCATCTTCTTCTCGGGCTCATTTGCGTCCATCTTTTGGCTCAAGAAGCGAGGCCTCATGCCAGGTCTCACCTTTAGCAACGAGCTTATCAGCCGTGACGAGGTATGTCCTGCATTTTCTGACTTTGCCATATGTCGTGAAACCGTTTATCACATGATTTAAGTGTTGCACACAACCACCTATGTTCATAAGATGGCACAAACGGTCTTCCCCATTATGTGATTGCAGAAGTCGAGCACACGGGCACAGTGAATATAAGGATTTTTCAAAAGATACTGAACAAAGCCTGTGTGGTCTTAAGCTTAGGTGCTAGAAGTTGTTGACTGCTTTGTTTTCAAGCAGAAACTGGTGGCCAATAACGAATTTAATGTTTTTCATGAACTGTCATGCCTTAGTAGCCACAGCACTATGGGCCGATGTCTCATTTAGTAATCTCAATTTCATTACTACTGGCTTGTCCAATGAGACCACCTAAGGATTTATTGTGTTCCCAGGGACTGCACACGGATTTCGCCTGCCTCATGTTCAGCCACTTGGTGCACAAGCCGTCGCCCACACGAGTGAAGCAGATCGTATGTGACGCGGTCGTCATAGAGCAGGAATTCCTGACCGAGGCCTTGCCCGTGGCCCTCATTGGCATGAACTGCGAGCTCATGAAGCGCTACATCGAGTTCGTGGCTGACCGGCTGCTGGTAGAGCTGGGATGCGAAAAGGTTGGTAATGTTGTCACGCATGTTGCTTGCGTCTATACCGTATTTACTCGCATCATCCTCGCACTTTCTTTTTGCCGGAAAACCGATGAAAAGTCGGGGGGGGGGGTGGGGTACGAGAATTATGCGGGGAAAACTTTCTACGAAAACGTACAGAGCGAAAAAGAAAACGAAGTGGCCGCAAATCGGGATTTTCACACCAGCAACTAACAGCAAGCTTTAAGAAGTAATAACTAAAACTTACCTCAACAACAAAAGCAGAGATTCAAGACAAGATTTATTTAAGGCACAAAAAGTGGAAGCAAATAGTCGAGAATTAGAATACAATACGCAAAGCTTGCGGACATAGCGGTAGCGTTCGTCGGTCAACAGCAGCCCTCAAAAGATAAGCGTGGGACGTCAGTATTGGGCTGATGGCCATTTAACAGAATCGTCCGCAGTTTCCTTCTGAAGAAATAAAGTTTACCATCAATCCCAGTTTTATGCACACGGCAGGCCCAACGCGTCTGTGTGGCTTACAGCAGTCATCACCAGTAACAAACACAAAACTTGTAGACTCCGAAGGGCCTACCGGCGGCTCTGTTGCCATTCTTTAGTGCATGATTTATCACTTGCAACTTGAAAGCAGCCAGACAGCCTCAGTATCGCCTCATAACTTGACAAGGTTACCTGACGCAGCATACAAAACACTCCGCAACGCGCACTGACCACTTCGGCTTGGCTTGAATTGGATTGAATCTCCGAGCAATAGTACGCTTGATGCTTAAGAGATGGTGTCAGATGGCGTGCGCTATCATCATCAGTGGCTGAAAAGAGCAGACGACGTTACTGCAGCAGTTTTAGAGGGTGCGATAATTACTTCGATAAAAAAAAAAAATTGTATTTTTGTTGGGCGATGTGGGGGGTGCGAGAATTATGCGAGGATTACGCGAGTAAATACGGTACTTCATACTCTGCCATACAAGTCTATTGTATCAGACTAATTAAATGTTTATGGTTATAACATTAAAGGGCCACTCATCAGGCCCCATTACAAATTTTAGTTAGACTGTGGCAGTTGTGTGTCTCATAAAGAGTTGTGTGTCTCATATAACGGCCCCACTTAAAACGAAATTTGGCTTAAAACAAACAAAATCCGTGTGACCATGAAAATATAAATTGGTTCAATGGCACAAAATAGCACTTACAACGAACGTCTCCGAGCGCTGCTGCTTGGTTACAGCGAACGGAGTCCGCGCTCTGCTGACATCCGGGAAAAACCACTTTCGACCACGGATCGGGCATCGGCGAGGTGCCCATAAATTATTATTGTTAAACGTTGACCCTACCTCCGTGCCCCTCTAGTTACCGCTCTTCCCGACCGTTTTTTGTTACCGTATTTACTCGTGTAATCCTCGCACTTGCATGATTCTCGCACCCCCCACATCGCCCAACAAAAATAAGATTTTTTTTTTTTTTTTTTCTCTCGAGTTATCGCACCCCCGAAAACTGCCAGCAATAATATCGTCTGCTTGTTCTAGCCACTGATGATGATAGCACTCGCCATCTCTTGAGCATCAAGCGTACTATTATTGCACGGAGATTCAAGCCAAGCTGAAATGGTCAGTGCGTGTTTTCAAGTTGAAAAACTCTTTCTCAAGTTTTTCTATGTGAGAGTTGCTTGATTCGCGGACCTTTCAAGCAAGCTACTGTGGGGTCTGGATGTGGCGAGCGAGCGCCACCACCACGCTCTTAGAGTGAAAGGACGCAGTAAACACGGTCGGTACAAACCAAACAATACACATACATTTAACTAATTTAGACGACGATATCGTCCGCCGCATGATACATCACCTGTAAGTAATACGCTAGGACATCGTTGCACAATAACACGACAAACACACTAACACACCCAAGGCGGCGTCCCCAACGCTTGACTTACCACAGCGGGCCCCCGGGGTCGTAGCCCGCAGTGCCATGCACCGAGGACCCACGCTAGAGACAACTGGCTCGCTCAACTCTCGCTCGCCACCAAGGCCTGCCTCCTGCCAGGGGTCACCGCCGGCGCTACCACTCTACCAACAGTGGTACACAGCGCGACCACAACGCCATCTATCGTCTGGCGGTTGTCACCCCCGAAATACGGCTTCTGTGCGAGACACGTGCGCTACGCGGCGCAAACAACTTTACAGGGAGTGTCAGCACCCCCACACTATCCAGCTTGCCTTCTCGTGTGTTCTGGTTTTCAAGGTCGCCCTCCCACCGCCCCTACCACAACTCCTTGCTCTTCTTCGCTCGCAAATCTGTTCTCTCTCGATCACAACCCCTTCGCCCGTCTCCACCGCTCCGCGACGCCAGCCACACTGGCTCGAATTAGTTTCGTTTTCCGACTAGAAACGGGCCCAGAGCTGTTCCACGCGTTTTGGCATATGTGCGTTGCGTGTGCACGTCTTGCTCGCTCTTGGTGTGCTTCTGTGGTCATGGTGGCCGATGGGAGGACTTGCACGCTTTTTTTCTACCACTCAACAAAATGTCGAAAGTGTGACCGTTTGGCTTGATCGTAATCCACGGGTCAGGTGCCGCGCTGCAGAGCGTTTGCTCATTGCTGTTGACTGCCTGGCAGACAACTTGCCGCTTCGGGGGTCCCGATATTAAGCTGTGGAGATGGTGAATATTTCGTGGGAGGCAGTGATGGCTACATGCATGTGAAAGTGTTTTCATGAGGCCGACTTCGTGGACGTCGGGCCCGATGCAGAGCCTGAAGCTTCCAAACAGGATCACTCCGGCAGCGATTTGTGGCAGTGCTTCGTCGACTTCGACCTGGGAGAGCGGGTGGGACATCTGTTGCGATGGTTTAATTACGGCCGATGATGATGCTGACACTGCGGAATCGTGCACAGATTAGGGCATTGTGAATGAAGTACGTGGTGAGTGTGATTTGTAGGAATCGGATTGCGAGAACGAGAATACTTTGAACCGAGTGCCTCATGCAGCTTATGCCACGCGCCTCGGCGAACGAGTACCTTGCCATTTTAAATGAACTCAAGACCGCCCTTACCGATTCTGTTTTTCGAAACACGTACGTTTGTGTTCTCACTCGCAACTTTCTTAAAAGCTGTGTTTTATTTACTGCGAACTTCGGGATACAGCGAGCGGACGCCGCGTCAGGCTTAGGTTCGTTATAAGCGGGCTTGACTGTAATTGGTCATCAGAAACTTTAAGGTGGTTACTATAGTTTTTAATAGCCTTACTGCTAATGTAAAGATTCACTCTTTCCTGGCTCATACAAAGTATTTACACCTTATAAAGTCATTCATTCAATGATATTTTTATATATTTCTTCACTGATTACAAACATATACATACGTTATGAACTCCTGTATTAATTTTGACGACTTGCTGCATCATCAATGTTTATATTGTAAAATACCTGGTTGTTTGTACTTTGTTTTATTCATAATTTTCAAGTATTGTTTCTCAGAGAAGTGAATCATGCATTTTGTTTTATGAAACACTGCAGACTGGTGTTCTGTCCTTTTGCAGGTGTACAACTCGGAGAATCCATTTGACTTTATGGAGCACATATCTCTAGAAGGCAAGACCAACTTCTTTGAAAAGAAGGTTGGCGAATACCAGAAGGCTGGTGTAATGGCCAACAAGGAAGACCAAGTGTTCACTCTGGACGCAGACTTTTGAATTAGTCAATTGCACTTTTTATTTATACTATGCGCATCGATGCAGTACTCGTGCGCTCAGCTTGTACATAGCGAATATAATGTCCCGCTTTCTTGAAAATAAAGTGTACAAATCATGTGTCATATTTTATCTGCTAGAAGCCAGCAGCTTTGCATTTAATGCTAGATACTACAATTAAATTAGCGTGCATTTCAAAGTGATTTTGTAACAGTAGTTATGAGTGTACGATTTGAAAGTGCCACATTTTTTTTTAAGGAAAAAACCTGTGGCACATACCCGCTCTACAGCATGGGAGGTGGCGGTACTTGGAGTGTTCACTAGATGGATGGACGGACGGGGCTGATGGACGCTTCACCCCACTCATCATTCACCCTGTGGATATGCTGCGATTTTTTATTTTTTTGGTGCTGCCGTAATGTCATACACAGCCCTGAATGCTTGCAGTAAACCTTTTACATGCCAGCACTCTATTATAGCTCACATGTGCAGGAGTAGAAAAAAAAATTGTGAAGCTCGCTCACCCATGCGTGAAATGTCTTCCCTTTGAGGACTGTAGACTCTCCATGGATATTCCTCGACTAGAACACGTAGACTCTCGTAATTTTTCTGTCAGACTCGAAACTGAAAGAAAGTCATTTTAGTCTGCTCATTCACTCTGATAGAGCCAATGAGTGAGTTTGCCCAAGTACAGAACAAAATCTGCTATGACCCACAAAGTAGTGCAATAGCCTTTTCCCACACTTTGCACACTTCCCATAACATTTTGCAAAAGCAAGGGTAACTTTGCATGCAGTGAATTATCATTGACAGTTGAACCTTGTGAGAGTCTAAACATGCAAATGTAGCAGCCTTTTGATGGGTCGGGTCCTGTGGCAGACTTCTGGTTCTCAAGGCTAGGAAATATTTACAACTGTTATAATTATGAATGGCTCTTCATTGGAACATGTGGGCCAATGGCATTTGGTCTGAATTCACAATTCTGTCAACTAGCAATGGCTGTTCCTTTTTGACACAAATGATGCCATGAACCCTAAGTACATAGCCATTGGTTGATTAGAGCTGTGTGAGCTGCATAGTTGCTACACGGCTGCAGGATACTGCAATGTCGCCGAGTGCACATTTGCAATAACACTCAAAAGTCCGCCACAATATTAGGGAGATCTAATAGACAATCATGCCGAAAAAAAGCACTTATAAAGGCCAACTCCGGCGATTTTTCGAGGTCAGTAGATGTCGATGAAGTTCACTGGGTACGTTCATTTGCACGTTTGTGCCATTCATGTCAAATTGAAGGCAGAGACGGCGTAGTGGAGGGCTCCGGAAATTTTGACCACCTGGGGTTCTTTGACGTGCACCCTAATCTGAGCACACGGGCCTACATTTCCGCCTCCATCTGAAATGCAGACGCCGCAGCTGGGATTCGACCTGCGGGTCAGCAGCCGAGTGCCTTAGACGACCGCAGGCGGGGCTGCTTGCCAGAATTCATGGCAACATTGTATATGACGTCCAGTTTTGCCTGGCGGAAGTGACGAACTGATGTGCCCCTGCACATCATCCTTTTCTGTGTAGGTAGGCGTGCGATAGGTTCCAAGCGGTGTCGCGTTGTGAGCCACACATGATTCGCCATATAGTCACAACAGCGTAAGCGTTTTAGCCGATCGCCTGCATCGAAGGATGGATGTGGCTGTACCCTTTAGATCGGGCGTCGGCTAACACCACCTAGCCGTAATACTTAGTGAACTAACCATTAGGTTTATCTTTTTTTTTTCTTTAAATAGTGAAGTTGAGGATTCGTACTTTGCAGTGAAGGGTGTAATTTTCACTCGTGCCTTGACTTGAGCCTCCAATCAGATAACCTCCTTCTAGTTAAGTCTACCCGCTTAAAGTCCTATTTTGCACTCCCGGTCCCTAAACTCCAGTGCTTTGAAAAACTCTGCGCCATCATCCTCAACTATAGGGTGAAGCCCTTTACAGAACATTATCAAGTGTTCGGCAGTTTCTTCTTCCTCTCCACACGCACTGCATACTGTGTCTACCCCTTCGTATTTGGCCCGGTATGTCTTGGTTCGCAATACTCCCGTCCTGGCCTCAAGCAGTTGAGAACTACCGCGAGTATTATCATAGATCCTTTCCTTGGCAATTTCCTGCTTAAAGGTTCAGTATATCTCTAGTGCGGACTTCTTAATCATGCCAATTCTCCACATGTCAGTCTCCGTTTCCTTCACTTCTTAACCAATAGTTCTTTTTCGTTTGGCAACCTGCTGTTTTCTAAGAATTTACCAGTCAATTTCCTGGTTCGCTTTCTCTATTTTGTATCGGCATTCTTCATGTACAAGTAGCTGAAAACCTTCCTAGCACAACGCTCCTCCCTCATTTCTCTCAATCGCTTCTCAAATTTTATCTTGCTGCTAGCTTCCCTGCCCTCAAATGGTGTCCATCCCAAATCACCTTGTACTCCCTGATTTGGTGTATTCCCGTGAGCTCCTAAGGCAAGCCTACCTATTCCGCGTTGCTTAATTTCTAATCTTGCTTGAACTTCTTATCTCATGCACAAGACCGCATTGCCGAACGTCAGCCCAGGAACCATGACCCCTTTCCATATTCCTCTCACAACATCATACCTATTGTAATTCCACAGTGCCCTATTTTTCATCACTGCTGCATTCCTGTTACCTTTAGTCGTCACGTATATTTCGTGTTCCCTCAGATACTCGGTCCCATTGCTTATCCATACGCCCAGATATTTGTATTTATCTGTTTTTATCTCTAGCGTGACCTCCTGTATTCTAAGCTCACTACCTTCGTTGTCATTGAAAATCATGACTGCTGATTTTTCCTTTCTGAATCTAAAATCTAACCTATCTCCCTCATTACCGCAGATGTCCATCAATCTCTGCAAATCTTCCTTGTTGTTGGCCATTAGCACTGTTGTTGGCCATTAGCAGACGCCGTGGAGTAGTGCTATCTGGCGGGCTTTACGTGCAATGTAATCGATAAAGTTGGAATTGGCTTGTGTCTTAAACTTTCAAATTGGCTGCGACCTGTGTAATGGATAGCGTGTTTAAACCACGAGCGCGTGAAAACAGTTATCAGCGCGAAATATTTTCGGACTTGTAGCGTCATCATGCGTCTCCTCGAAACTGCGTGGTCACACACAGGCACCACTGAAGCTGCTAGATAGCTGATAACGGCCCGAACATTATCTGGAGGCGCTGTTGCGGGGAGAGTGTCAGCACCTGTATATTCTTACACCTTGGCTTTGAAGCACGTGCATATGCCCAGAGGCTAATAACAATTGCCTAAGCGCCCGCGTGCCGTAAAACCGTAGAGATAAAAATTTTGAGATTCTTAGAGGAGCACCGACATCAAATTTCAAGATGTGCCCATCATTCGATCGCTTGGTATGCATAGGTCTTGGCCGAATTTGAATGGCATCCGTCGCGTGCAAGTTATTTTAATTCGATGTCAAATAGCGTAGAAAAGGTAAGAATAAAAAAAAAACGGAAAATAGGCTGCCCTTCGACATCGGCACTAGTGCTACGTGTGGTGTGATACATTCCACAAATACCATTCTGAGTGACGATACGCTAGTAATAATGACGTCCATGATCTGAGTGTGTTTGGAGCCGACTCCCGGCCATGCCCTCACTAATGGCTCTCCTGCGTGTGATTCATCGTGTCGCAGCGACTGATTTGACATGTGCTCCACAGCGTGAGTACCTCAACGCAGCCAGTAGGTTGACTTCGTACGCGTCGATGGACAGAGGGACTGGACGCCTAAGAAGAACAGACGCATTTGCTCGCTTCACTTTGCACCGAGCTGCTACAGGGATAATCTTGTGTTGGCGAACGAGTTTGGTTTCACTGGCAGTACGAGGCCCCTTATCGAGGCTGGGGCTAAAGGGAGAGGGGAAGGAACGAGTTGGCGCTACTTAACCTAGCCGGTGGGAAAGCGCTTGGAGTGGCTTTAGTCTACATCGTAAGAGAGACAGCTGGACTGACTGCACGTGTGCTCCTAGCAGACGAAATGCCAGTGCGCGTGACGTCGCCATTGTTTGTGGAAGCAGCATCAGCTGTGCAGGCTTTCGACCCATTTTGAACCACGTTCGATAGCGGATATATTATTCAATATTACAGATATTCATTCGTACCTAAGATGAGTTTTAGGTCGTAAATCGCTACTAGGGAATCGATGGCTACTCGTTGGCGAAGAGATCTTGACATGAGTAAATTTGATGCCAGTGCTCCTAATGCCAAGATTTTTGCGCCTGCGAGTAGTTATAGACCCCGTAGCAGCGATTCGTGACCTAAAACGCAACTGAGGGATGAATAATTATCACTTTTATTTATGTTTATCACTGGTATTTAGCACTATTGAAAACGGCCGGCAATCCCCTGCCATTTTTAGCGCTGGGGCACCAGCAGTGGCGCTACCTCGCGGTCACCTCCAGGTCACGCTACAGCTGACCACTTCTCCACAGAAAACAGTGACGTCAGGCTAAGCTGTTCCGCAAACATATCGTCTGCTAGGCGGACACATTCAGTCATGCCTTGTCACCTGCATTGCTGTCATCGCCGTACAAAGTGTCCACTCGGGTTCAATACAATAGTTTGGAGTTAGGAATCCCAGCGATTTGCGACGTCGCGAATAATTTTTGTTTCGATCGACCGTTTGCAGAACAGTGATTCCGAAATGGACGCCGTTGCAAGCAGCGCTGCTAGCCACCATAGCGCTGCAGAGGTGCCCGAGGCTGCACGCTTCAGTCATGTTAGCTCGTTTGTCTCAGTTAGCTATATCGCTGTGTTTCGGCGTGCAAAGCATTCAAATATACGCAGAGGGGACTCACGATTCCCCGACATGCTGACCGACAATCACACGTTTAATCATGCTCCTTTCTTTTGCCGTTCTTTCAAAGGTGGTTTTTATCTTGATAATTTCATGAAATCATCCGAACCGGTGCGACGAAGATCAGACGCGACGAGCGAGTGCGTTTCTGTGATTCGGCGCCACGATAAGAACACTCGAATCGTACACGTCATCGCTACTAGGGCATCGTCACTCGGGATGGTATTTGTGGAATGTATCACACCGAACACGTAGCACTAGTGTCGATGTCG